GACCAACACTTTGGGAGGCTGAGGCCGGGCAGATCATGAGGTCAGGAGATCAAGATCATCCTGGCGACATGGTGAACACCCGTCTCCACTAAAAATACAAAAAAATTAGCCGGGCGTGGTGGCGGCGACCTGTAAGTCCCCAGCTTCTCAGGAGGCTGGAGGCAGGAGAATGGCGTGAACCCGGAGAGCGGCGGAGCTTGCAGCGAGCCGAGATCGCGCCACTCGCACTCCAGCCCTGGCGACAGAAACAAGAACTCCATCTCAAAACAAAAAAAAAATTTTAGAAAGGGTGGAATTTTTTACATTTTACAAAACCTTTAATGTCAGGCTCAATGAAAGACAAGCCAGAAGAGGCTGGGCCAACAACGGTGGTCCTCACAATATATAATGCCCACCAGGCATTTATGAAGAAGAGAGCCAAGGCATGAGGATTGCTTGACCTCAGGAGTTGGAGACAGCCTGGGCAACATACGCAAAACCCTATCTCTTACAAAAAACAAAACAATAAAAATTAAAAACAGGCAGGCCACGTGGCTTACGCCTATATAATCACCACACACAACTATCATCAGAGACAGCCGAGGCAGGCAGGACACAAGGTCAGCCGGGCATTCAAAATCAGCCTGGCCAGCATGGTAACACCTGTTCTCTAAACAAACAAAAAAATTAGCCAGGCATCCCTGAACATGCTGTACGTCCCAGCTACTCGGAGGCTGAGGTATCGGAATCGCTTGAACCCCTACGATGGTTTAGTGCAGAGAGATCGCGCCACTTGCTGCCACAGTCTGGGCGACAAGCGAGATTTCGTCTCAAGAATAAAGTACAAAAATAAAAACCAGTCAGGCATGGTGACATGCGCTGTAGTGGCCCACCTACTCAGATGCGCTGAGGTGGGAGAGCATGACTTGAACCCAGGAATTGAGGCTACAGTGAGCCGTTATCAATGGCACTGCACTCCAGGCTTGGGTGACAGAGCAGGGATGACCCTGTCTCCAAAAAACAAAAAAAAAAAAAAAACAACGCCGATTCAATGCATTTCTGCAGTCTTTGACGTCTTCCTACGCGTTTGGCCCTCAAAAACTCTGTACGGTCTTAAGAATGAAAGCATCAAAGGCAAATGATATCTTAGTGTACTATGAACACTGTCTCTTGGCTTGCAGATCCCCTGAGGGGTCTCCAGAGACCACAGAGCCCTACAGCCACGTCTTGGTTCTGAGCAGCACTACTCCAGACAACCATCCGTCCCTCCCACAATGTTCCTGGGTCATGCCCTTCATTAGAGATAACCACTCATTGACACCTGGTTTCACCGCTCCCAGGCTCTCACACACCGCTGCATTGGTTTTGATTCTTCATTACATGCTGTTTCTTCACTTCTTCTGTCCCCACCTTCTCATCAAAAGTGTTATGCTCTACCACTTGTTTTTTTTCTTCATTAGTTGCACAGAGCACTTTCACATTTTTTAATCAAACAACTCATGGATAAATGACATCACAATCCCAATCTCCTCCACTGCACACTGTTTTGTCTGTGTTTATTTCTGGAATTAAATCAATTCAGATCTGGAAATTTTTGTATTCCTTTGTTTTGTCCTCTCTTCAAATAAAATAATTAAATTTTTTTTTTTTTTTTAATTTTTTTTTTAACCTCTGTTTTATGTCTTTTTTTAATTTGAGGAAAGAAGTTCTATTTTTAGTTAGATTCCAATTCTTTGCGTGAACCCTTTGTTTATCGGATCAAATTTCAAGGGGCTGTCAACTTGGAGATCAAATGAATGACACTGCTTCTTTACAAATGAGTATAAAACTAATGTTACAGATCATGTGAATTTTATGAACTGATAGATAGCACAATAATAATGAGAGTAACTGTGCCTTCTATGGTACAATTTTCATATTTCATTACTTCAAACAAAGATGAATGCTGACTATATTTGTATCATCTTACATTCACAATAGTGTCTTTAAGGTTTTACTGAAACATTTTATATATAGTAAATCCTCTTTCAAAAACATTTTCCCATAAGCTATGAGGTTAATACAAATTACCCATTAACTTCTTTTCTTTTTTTTTTTTTCCTGGACGGAGTCTCGCTCCTGTCACCCACGGTTGGAGCTGCAGTGGCGCAATCTGGACTCACTGCAAGCTCCGCCTCTCGGGTTTTACGCCATTCTCCTGCCTCCCAGCTACTGAGTAGCTGGCGACCTACAGGTCCTGCCACCCACCCCCAGCCTAATTTTTTTTTTTTTTTGTATTTTTAGTAAGACACGAGTTTCACCATGCTAGCCAGGATGGTCTCGATCTCCCGACCCTCATGAATACGCCCCATTTTGACCCTCCCAAGTGCTCGGGATACAGGCGTGAGCCACCGCGCCTGGCCACCATTAACATTTTTATAGGATAAGAAAGACAAACGTTCTGGAAGAAAAAATTACTTTACTCAAAACATGCATAGCTAGAAAAATACCATACCCCAAAAACCCACAACACTTATCTCTTATCGACTCAAATCAAATCCACTCCTTTGTGTCATGCTTGAACAATATAATAATCAAAAATTCTACCAATATACGAAAATATTAAGTTCTTTGCCTTTTTTTCAGATCTATTCTGGAAAAAATTGTCCCTCCTTTCCAAAGTTGAATCAGAAAATGCAAAAAATGGCTGGGCGCAGTACGCCTCCACGCCTGGTAATGGGTGGGATCACCTGAGACAGGAGTCTGAGACCAGCCCTGACACAACATCTGGTGAAACCCCGTGCCCTCTCTACACAACTCAAAATAACAAAAAACCTCAGCCCGGGACGCTGGCATGCACCTAATTAGTCCCAGTACTCGGGAGGCTACACAAAGCAGGAGATCACTTGCACTCGGAGGTGGGTTGCTGTGACGCACGGATTGTGCACTGCTCAGCTTGGGCAGAGCAAGGGCTCTGTCTCAACAAGAAAAAATAAACTAACAAATTATGCAACAAAACAGGGATAATTATTTTTTTTCTCTCATTAGTAATATATCTTGGGACAGCTATTTTCATTTAAAACACACAGTTAACTTACTAAAACTTCACAGTCAATATGCAGATGCATAAAAACAATTTACAATACAACTTCTTACACAATCTTTCATTTGGCGGCAACTGCCAACTAACAGAACATTCACTAAAGGATAATAAACCTGCATAGCTGAAAGAACCACACACACATAATATGCTGAACCTCGTAGTATCAGTATTATGCTTGAAATCCCTACAACAAACACATAGAAACTTTAAAATTTCACAAATACAGAATTTGTGAAATTAAATTATTAAAAAATCTAATAACCACTTTGTATAGATGAACAAGAGCACAAATTTATTAATTAATCGTACACCTACAACTGTTTCAAGTCCCTACATTTTTCTTAAATTACAAAGAAGCTCCAATGGAGTCTAACACATTTCAAATGCTGTATTGTTACATTAATGACCCACTGCACTGATTGTGAAATAAAAAAACTGAAATTACTAAGGGCTCTTGGGTTTCTTAGCTAATCAATTCTGCACAATAATAGATAAGTTTACAATGTTCAAAACGATTAACTTAACGCTATTCGTTTATAAACACAACCTGATGTTATAAAAAATATGGGACCAAGGCAACTAATTTTTTCCTCACATCTTTACTCTTAAAAAAAAAAAAAAAATCTTATCAGAAGACCAAGAACCTATAGTGAGATAGTTCAGTACTCAAGTTAGTCTAAACAGGATTGCAAAGTTGCTTTACTAAGAAATACTTGAGTATTTCACTTACCTCTGTTTCTGTACATTGTGAATATCCCAATTTACCTGTAATAAAAATGAAAAGGATTACTTTCAAAGGATTTCAGCTTTTTTCAAATCATTGACAAAAATATTTGAGCTTCTCTTGCTATGGTTTTATTATGTCTATGAGACTATCTATGCAAATGAAAGATGCTAGAATGACCAAATATCCCTGAAGGTCCTAGTTAGAGATTTAAGTTTAAATAGGCCCATTAAAAAATAACAAAGAAAAAAGTGAGAAAAAATGGTTAATTGCAATAGAATGTAAAATATATATACATATTTAATACAGATATATAAATCAATGAAATAAAAACATTTGAAAGTCTTGCTTTCTTTTAAGAAACACCTTAAAATACTTTAAAGGTATTTTACGCACGCCTTAGGATATCTTACGAGACTCCCAGGCTTTTCTCCAAATACATTTCCAGTTTAAAGATACAGTGATCATTTCCACGAAAGGAATAATGTTTACACTCATATTTTCTTTAATATATGACTGTTTTTCTTTAATACATGATTAGGCAAAACCATACAATTAATTTAGTAATTTTTCCCACAGAGGTTCACCTACAGAATAATGAGCACTGAACAATATTTGGCTGCACCAACATCAGTATTTTTCTCCATCACTGACACATAATACCAAAGAACATGAACAATTAATATATTTCTGTCAATGTCGCTGACTAAAACATACTTTTTAAACAAAAACAGCTATTTTAAAGAATCACTTATTAAATAGTTTTACCAAAAAGAACGAATAACACAATTATACTGGGTACTAGAAAACTGCCTTTTTTTGTTTGTTTGTTTTTTGAGATGGAGTCTCACTCTTGTCACCCAGGCTGGAGTGTAGTGGCGTGATTTTGGCTCACTGCAACCTCCCACTCCCGGGTTCAAGCAATTCTCCCACCTCGGCCTCCTGAGTAGCTGGGACTACAGGCAACCGCCACCATGCCCTGCTAATTTTTGTATTTTTAGTAGAGATGGGGTTTCGCCATGTTGGCCAGGCTGGTCTCGAACTCCTGACCTCAAGTGATCCGCTTGCCTCAGCCTCCCAAAGAGCTGGGATTACAGGTGTGAGTCACCATGCCCAGTCAGTACTAGAAAATTTAATTTCCTCAGAATACACTTAGATTTCACTGACCTAAATTCAAATATGCATTTAGCTCTATACCTTTCCCTCCACCCAATACTATCCTCCCACTTCTTCCTCTCCCCAGCGTTTACCCTCACACCTAGCCCACAGTAGTTATTCTATCAGCCTTGTTATATTTTTAGTGCTTAACTAGAATTTGAACACCTTAGAATCTATTATGACATCACAAAAGAAAAATCACAAACAATAGCTTTTGTATGCCACCCAATTCTTAAAATAAAAAATAAAATTGAAACCACAATTTATTTGAAATGAGTTGGTTGGAAAAACCAAAAATGAAAAAATAAAAGAAGACAAACCACAACTCCTTATCTCTTAATGATCCTAATGAGAAACACTGGCTGAAATTGAGACCAGAAAATAAGGGGCCTAAGGTTCTATGAATTAAATTAAAAATTATATATAAGCAATAAAGACTACGTGAACATATATATAAAATGAGCTTACTATCTAAGGGTTTACATAACAGGGTTTGATAAGTATAAGACTGTTATTGTACTTATACATTTATTTATTGTTATGTAAAACTATATTCAATAGTGATTTATAACATATATTTTATTTATTTATACATATGATTGTTTGTTCAGACCATTAATGCTTTTGGTAGTTAAGTAGACTTAACTCCCATAAAATTGGTAATTAATTTTACTCAACAAAGTACTACTGGACAGAAACAGCTCAAGGAAGGGTAAAGACTGTCTTTCAGCAAACATTTACTGAGCGCCTACTCTGCATAGGGGGGAAGAGAGGGAGGGAGGAAGAGAGGAGCACTCAGGCAAACTGGAACAGAGAGTAGCCTCTTCAAGAGTATATGAGTTGGCCAAGTGTGGTGGCTCCTGCCTGCAATCCCAGCACTTTAGGAGGCCGAGGCGAGCGGATCATGAGGTCAGGAGATCAAGACCACCCTGGCTAATATGGTGAGACCCCATCTCTATTAAAAATACAAAAAATTAGCCGGACGTGGTGGCGGGCGCCTATAGTCCCAGCTACTCGGGAGGCTGAGGCAGGAGAATGGCATGAACCCGGGAGGCGAAGCTTGCAGTGAGCTGAGATCGCGCCACTACACTCCAGCCTGGGAGACAGAGCAAGGCTCTGTCTCAAAGAAAAAAATAAAATACAAAAATTAATGCAAAAAGGGATAAATTATTTTTGTTTCTCTATTATACCATATAATCCCTTGGGAAGCCTACATTTCATTTAAAACAACAGTTAAAACTTACTAAAACTTACATCAATATGCAGATGCATTAAAAAATTTGAAATACAACTTCTTAAATCCTTTATTTGGGCACTGCCACTAACAGAACATTCATCTAAGGATAATGAAACTGCTACTGAAAAGAACACCACACATATATGCTGACCTGGTAGTTCAGTATTATGCTTGAAATCCCTACAACAAACACATAGAAACCCCTTAAATTTCACAATCAGAAATTTGAATGAAATTAAATTATTAAAAAATAATAAACCTACTTCTCTTGAACCTGGTTCACGCTCTCCAGGCTCCCTCACACCACCACCGCCAAATGGACCATTGTCTCTAACCTAAAACACAACAGAAAACTTCTTCCTTATGCTGTTTTCTTCCTTCTCTCATGTCACCAAACTTCTAATAAAAAAAGTAGTTCCCACTGCCTCTACCACCTCACCACTCTGTTTTTTATCTTAATTACCAAAGTAATGCACAGAGACTCTTATTTTTTTTTAAATCAAACAATATGGATAAATGACCATCCACAATCCCAATCTCCTCCCCACTGGCAACCACTGTTACCCCTAGAAAATACCCTGAACCTGTTTTTCTGAATTAAATCAATATCAGATTGAAATTTTTGTTTCCTTGTGTTTTGTCCTCTTCAAATAATAATAATTATTATTTTTTTTAATTCTGAAAGAGTTCTATTTAGTTAGATTCCAATTCTTTTGGTGACCTTTGTTATGGATCAAATTATAAGGGCTGTCAATTAGGAGATAAAATGAATGAATGCTTCTTTACAAAGTGAGTACTAAACTAATGTTAAGATCATGTGGATTTTATGACAATATAATAAAATAATAATGAGATAACTGTGCCTTCTATGTAAAATTTTCATATTTCATTACTTAAACACAGATGAATGCTGACTATATTTGTATCATCTTAATTCACAATAGTGTCTTTAAGGTTTATGAAACATTTTAATATATAGTATCTCTTTAAAAATTTCATAAGCTATGAGGTTAATACAAATTACCATTAACTTTTTTTTTTTTTTTTATAAATTTGGAGCTTTGTTATTTATACAAGTAGGTTTATTATTTTTTAATAATTTAATTTCATTCAAATTTCTGATTGTGAAATTTAAGGGGTTCTATTGTTTTGTTGTAGGGATTTCAAGCATAATACTGAACTACCAGTCAGCATATATGTGGTGGTGTTCTTTTCAGTAGCAGTTTCATTATCCTTAGATGAATGTTCTGTTAGTGGCAGTGCCCAACATAAAGGATTTAAGAAGTTGTATTTCAAATTTTTTAATGCATCTGCATATTGATGTAAGTTTTAGTAAGTTTTAACTGTTGTTTTAAATGAAATGTAGGCTTCCCAAGGGATTATATGGTATAATAGAGAAACAAAAATAATTTATCCCTTTTTGCATTAATTTTTGTATTTTCTTTTTTTTTTTTGAGACAGAGCCTTGCTCTGTCTCCCAGGCTGGAGTGCAGTGGCACAATCTGGCTCACTGCAACCTCCACCTCCCAGGTTCAAGTGATTCTCCCTGTCTTTAGCCTCCGAGTAGCTGGGACTATAGGTGCATGCCACCGTCCCGGCTAGTTTTTGTATTTTAGTAGAGACACGGTTCACCATGTTGTCCAGGCTGGTCTCAGACCCTCGGTCTCAGGTGATCCACCCATTACAGGCGTGAGCTACTGCCCCAGCCCATTTTTGCATTTTCTATTCAACTTTGAAAGGAGGGACAATTTTTTCCAAATTAGATCTAAAAAGGCAAGAACTTAATATTTTTATATTGGTAGAATTTTTGATATACTATTCAACATGACACAAAGGAGTGGATTTGATTTGAGTCAGAAGAGATAAGTTTTGGTGGTTTTTGGGTATGTATTTTTCTAGCTATGCAATTTTGAGTAAGTAATTTTTTCTTCCAGAACTTTGTCTTTCTTATCTATAAAATGTTAATGGTGGCCAGGCGCGGTGGCTCACGCCTTTAATCCCAGCACTTTGGGAGGTCAAGATGGGCGGATCATGAGGTCGGGAGATCGAGACCATCCTGGCTAGCATGGTGAAACTCTGTCTCTACTAAAAATACAAAAAAAAAAAAAAAAAATTAGCTGGGGGTGGTGGCAGGCACCTGTAGTCCCAGCTACTCAGTAGGCTGAGGCAGGAGAATGGCGTAAACCCGAGAGGCGGAGCTTGCAGTGAGTCCAGATTGCGCCACTGCACTCCAACCTGGGTGATAGAGCGAGACTCCATCCAGG